GGGAATAAAAGGGGAGAAACTCATGGTGTGGTCACCATCCTCCTCTGACCTCTGACCCTATTGAGAACCTTTGGAGTTTCCTCAAGCAGAAGATCTGAGGGTGGGATGCAGTTCATATCAAACAGCAGCTCTGGGAAGATATTCTGACATCCTGAAAATCAAGCAGAAACTATTCACAAACTCACAAGTTCAATGGATGCAAGAATTGTGCAGGTGATACCAAAGTAGGGGTCCTATGTTAAAATGTAACTCGTCTGTTAAGGTGTTTTTGATTGAAATAACTTTTGATTTTAGTACATGTGATCACTTAATGCTGCACATTCAAAGAATGACCGTTTGCAGTTCTTTATAATCCACAAAATGTTTAGAAAATCTGCTGAGCATAATACTTTGGAACAGTGCATTTTGAGGTTTTTTTTTATTTTTGAAAAAAATACTGTTCACATGGGAAGCTGTGTTCAGTCAAATTTGATTTATACTGTAATAATTCATGACTTGAAAATTATACTGACCATCATTTGCATTAATTATTTAAGAAAATCTGAGAAAATATCACTTGCATAGTTATTTGGAACACGGTGTAAGTGCAACAGCCGCTCAGTGACTGGAGAACAGCTTGTGATAGCATGCCTCTTGCCATTAGCAATAGACTCCAAACTTTATTGTCATCAGCTAAAAAGCAGAGCAAACCCACTTTTTCAGATTGTCTAACATTTTTTAGCTTTTGGACTTTTGTTAGGCCCGTCATTAGCTGCGTCTAGGCTAAAGGTTTTTTATGGTACCTTCATTTTCCCCAACTGGGAATCGATTTGCAATATATTCACAGGTCCAAAAACATGTACATTTCATAGCTCATGTGGGTAAAACACTCTGCTTTATCACCCTGCAACCGACCACAATGGTGAAAATGAGCTTTCTTGTGGTTAAAACCTGGGAGAGATATTTACCTGTGTAAACATGCATAGGCATAAAATACAAGTATTACCCGGAACTGACCGAGAACTTGCAACAAATAAATTCAGGCCCGCATGGCTCCCAGCAGAGCTAACTGAATCAAGACTCCATCTGACATCAGTGAAATAAGAAACATTTTTTTGTGTGTGTGTGATTATCACCATTTGGATTGTGCGTGTTTCTTAAAACTCACACCAATGGCCGATTCTTTTAGTTCTTAGGCTTTGCTCACAAGTCTCACGTCTGACCTGATTGATGGACTCGCATATAAATGTTTGTGACATCACCAAGCGGGCTGTTGATAGGTCATCATACTTGAAGTTATGAACAAAACTTTACGTTTTTCTTTCTTATCTTTTCAGGCACTCCACCAAAGCCGATGCAAAATGGCTCTTTTTTTCATTGAGTTTGCTAACCAAATGAGGCACAGACATATTTGTTCACAGGCTTATTTGTTCAAGGAAATGCGTCACAGAGACAAATTGACCAACCCAGTCAAATTGGCCTGCAGACACATAAGAGTCTCAAGGTTTTCTGCTGCTTTTGTTTCTTATGATATATATATTTTTTTAATCATTCCTAATTTATTTGTACTTTGTTGTTGGTGTTGCATCACCTTGAATTCATAATCACTTTTATTTCTCCAGCTGATATCTCTCAGGGCTCATTGATGATGGCTGGCTACTAGTTTGTAGCTGCGGCTGACAGAAGCAAGGCATTTGTGCCGTCGAAGCCGATGAACATATTCTGTAACTCTCCTCCATAACCTGCTAAATTTTTTGGGCTTACTCACCACCTGTCAGCTGCTTTGCATGTGTTTTTATTTCCTTTACTGCTAAATCAATGTTGTGACATCTGACACTTAGGTTATGTGTCATGTAATATTTCAGTTTTAGGCTGAGTTAAAAAACAAAACAAAAAAAAACCCATTGTTTTTCATATTTACAGAATTTATATTTGGGAACTTCAGATCATGACACGTTTTGCTCGTAAAATATTTGATTGTGTTCTTTGTTTCTTCCCTTCAGGACTTTTTATAACGATGATTTAAAATGATAACCTTACACCTGCTCCTTATGTTGCTTCCTTTCTTTCATCCTTTCTTCCTTTCGGTCTTTCCTTATTTCCTTGTTTCTAAGAAGTAATGTCGAATCCACCCAAACTTCAACTTTCTATTTCCATACACGGTTTTAAATGTATTGTTTTGAATCAGCAGTAAGAGGAACCCTGGTCTTCTTTTTTTTTTTTTTCTTTTTTTTTTTTTTACAAAACGATTTACCTGTAATCCATTCAACTTCTGACAATCGTTTGTTTAGCAGGCATGACAGAAAAAAGTATTTTCTGAAACCATGAGCAGCAAATCTCATGCAAATACTTATTTGCAGCACCTAGTTATTTTTAGTATCCTTGTACCGAAGTATTCTTTGGTACTTCCAGCTCAACTCATAGATGATGGTTACTGACTGGCTTTGATAAAAGGCTGTCTGACGATGGCTTTCTAATTCTGTGACTGTGACTTGATGAGTCCAGACCGGAAACAGTATCAAGCTGGGCAGGCAGCATCGATGGAAAAGTAATCTGTGTTTGGATTGAATTTAAACTGTTTGGATTATTTGTGTTTGGGTGTGAGTGTGACAAATCTTTGTCTATGTTCCGCTGGCATCGAGAGAACATTATTTTGCAGTTGTGGTGTTTCCATTAAATATGGAACCCAATTAAAACCACGCGATTAGTCATTAAAAAGACATGCAGCTCCGTGGTCCTCCACGTCTTCTTCTTCATGGTTTTTGCCAGCGGCATCATCCAGTTGATGATCGTGTGACTCGTTTGGTGGGAAAAAAATGTGTTCCCGTTGCAGTTTTGATACAGCCAATAACCCCACCAAAATATGTGATCAAAAAATGAGTTTTGAAATGAAAGTCAGTGAATGGTCGTTTTATGCATCATGAACCTACACAGAACAAGAAACGGTAACCTTGAATGATTCCACTGGTGTTTGTTTTATTTGTCAATTGTCACCAGCAGTGACTCTGCAGGTCAACACGTTTCGCTTCTTTAATCTGATTACTGATGGATCTATTGGCCTCCTTGCAGCTAAGGGACACCTGCTTGTAAGAGAGCTCAAAGACCGTGGCGTCCTCTGTGCCGCCATGCAAATCCCCAGCAGGAGCTTCTTGTTAGCCAACCTGAAGTCGAGCAGAGAATCATAAAAACCAGAAGCTGATGAATAATTTGTCAATGACAGCAACTTTTTCAAAGTCAAATGCCGACTCTGCCACCAACCAGACTTTATTGTGAGCACATGATGTAAAGGCGTAGTGCGTCGGGTTGGTGTGGTTCTTCAGGACCATGTGGCGTGCCTGAAGTTGGGACATTAAAATGAGGAGGTAAATCTTGAGAAAATGCAAAAACATCATTTGCACAAGATTCCCTGTGTGCCCTTGCTCTTATGTTTCTTTCCAACAGAAATGGGATTCATTTCTAGAGCGTTCTGCACTGACGAGCTCTGATTTCACTATGATTCTGATTCTTGATTATTTTGCTGTCCTGCTTTTTGAGAATTGTGGAATATTATTATATAGGTCAGGTCATAAGTTAGAAAAAATAAACATTTTATATTGGACAACCATTTTTTTTTTTTTTTTTTTGTGGCACGTCTTGGACCACTTCATGGTTGATCTGCAACATTTACAGTTTTCTGAAACTTGCTAAGTTTTGCCACAGTGTCGTTCCGTGTTTTCTGTTAAAGTTTTATACAACCATGCGACTGCTTCCCGATCCAACCATCAGTGTCATTCTTTGCTCTTTTGTCAAATCCATCCTGTTGGGCATATAAAATATTAAAGAAATATACATTTTACATTCTCTTACATATGGAAACTTATGGGCGACCCTGTATAAAAATATTGGTAAAAATACCAAAATGTAACTTCATGACCTGTGTGCAAAACATTCAAAGTGGAGAAAACTGAACACTGATATTGGAGTGTTAAACCATCCAGTGGTGTCAGAATCCCAACATGTTCCCAAAAACATGTATGTATCCAATTATCAATTCCATTTCTCACCATTTCAATTAATATGAATGCAGTGATCTTCTAACAGACTAAAGAGAATAACCTATTTCATTTACATTTAAAAATGCATTTTGATTTCATTATTGACATGAATCATCACAAATGGTTTCCATCATGATCTGGTCCAAATTCAGCTGTTTCCTTGGTACAGACACATGGGACCTTTTTTTTTTTTATTTTTTTACACAGTGTTGCTTAGAATGACAGAAAACTGGCCGTGTCTTCACTACACAAATTGAAATGACAAAAGAAAATTTGCTTAATGGAAACACAGCAACTTCTGATTGGCTGACATATGGTGGGTGCCATGGTTGAATTAACATTAAATGCCATTTACATCCACCCCCACCATGATTTTTAAAGACTTAACATGTGAAAAAACTCACTGGTGTGTGATTTCAATTTCATTTCTTATTTAATGAAAACAAAGTCATTGCAAAATTCTGTTTATTACATGTAATATAGACAAAGATTTGATCAACATAAACTGAACAGCTTATGTTCAGTTTTTGTCCAGTTTGCAAAATAATTCCCCAATTTGTCTCCGACTTCACGATTGCACAATGCTGAGTCACATACAACTGCAATAAAAACATAATAATATTTAAAAAGAAAAAAATCATTCAAACTTGAGTTTTTGTTTTCTCTGACATGGAACAAAGGGTAACCTTTTCAAGAAATGAAAAATGTGGGAAAATGTGTTTTTCTCTCTCTCTCTCTATTTTTGATAACAAGGTGTCATGCGGTCGTCTTAAGAAACAAACCTCAGTCACCCCAAGACGACCTCCTGAAGGAGACGACTTGATTTGGTAGACAAATGTCCATGGAAAACCTGAAGACACTTGTCCTGCCCTGAGCAGCCCGGCTGGACTGGAGACGAGCCACGGATGCAAATGAGCCGCTTACAGAAAGCTGCTGTGTCCAACTTCCCCACCCCCTCCCATAAAAACAGCACCACCCTGCTCAGCATAAGCCAGCGTTAGAGACGAATATGCACACTTCCTGGGATTCTGATCGCTGATCAGCTGCTGGTGGACATGGGACGACATCCTCACTGAGTTAGATAAAGTCAGAACATTTCATAGCTGGGTTTTCTGCAAGACAGTGGTAGCAAACAAGCAAAGGTAAGAGTTGCTTCAGATTCAGTTGAATGACTTTGCAGCATTTTTCCTTTTTTTTTTTATCTGAGTGAACATTCAATTTAATATGCATAGCAATATCAAAACACATTTTTATGCTTGATCACTTGTTCAAGTTTTTTAACGAACATGTAATTTGGTTTAATGCGCTTTGACCTGTAGCAGCTAATGTTCTTTTTTCTTCAAATAACTGGGATAAAGCTGCTACAAGATATATCATGTTCTGAGAGCATAAATTTATATGAATATTGTTTGGTTTTTTATAGAAGATATTATTTACTGTACTTGTTTCAAAGCTTTTATTTTTAAAAATAACTGAAGAAGTGATGTCACACACAAAAAATTAAATAAATAACTTGTGCCATGGAACAGATTTCAGAAACGTTGAGGCGCAGGAATGCATCACCCAACAGGAAAATGTTGTGGTCAAAGGATGTGCTGCGTGTAGATGTTTCACTGCGCTGGGGTTTTTTAATAAATTTTTTTACGACTGCTACTGCGGGCAGAATTTAGCAGTTTCCTGTATCAGAAAAAAAAAAAAAAAAAAAAAAAAAACAAAGCACCAGTTTACTGACATTCAGAACTCAGATGCAAAGTAATGCAAACATGCTTGCTTAGGAAAATACTCACCACACAACCTGAAATAGAAAAAAAAAACCATATAGCTACATATAACGTTTATGCTTTTCAAAACTGTTTTGAAAGCAGAAAATCTTTTGCGTTTATCTATATTTTTGTGTCATAGATCAATGCTATGACATAACATTTATTTTAATCGGGATTTACACAACAACTTAAAAATTCACAAGTCACAAATACATGCTTTTGACGGCAATTTATAATGCAAATGATTTTAGTTGTGCTTTTTATTTGTGAAAGCTTTTATAAAGTGACTCAGAAGAACTATTTTAGAATAAAACACACAAATAAGTTTCCTCCTTCAGAGAAAGTACAAATTGAGATGATACTGTATCAGAAGAAGGGCTAAAAGAAAGACCCTCATATTAATGCTTGTATTATTACGACCATGTTTTCATTTGTAAGACATTTTTACATTTACAACATGATTTTTGGGCCCCTAGGACACATGAACAGAGTTGTAGCTTTAAAACAGAATATATAGTCAATACTTTAAATCCTTGGGAATCTTTGTCTACTAAAGCAAGGTACCATAAATATGTTTTTAACTAAATGGGTTAATTTAAAGCAGCATGTATTCCAAGGTTGGGTAGGGGGGAGGGACAGAAAAATCATCTTTATTTCTCTGAAACTAAAAAACAGAGATCAAGCAAGAGATGAAATTGCTGCATACAGTGTGTTCAAACCTTCAGTGAATGAGAGGAGGGGAAAAAAAACGTAGAATTTTTTTAAGGCGTCTGAAAGAGTGGAAGCGGGCCTTATAAATATGAAACTGGAAAAATGCAAAATCTACAGAATGACCCAGGTGGGTTAATCAGAAGTGAGGAGACACATTTATATATATTTTTAATTCACATTTGTCTTTGATATTTTCACATTTCGACTTCTTTGGATGTAGAGAAGATCAGCGTTTAGTCATTATGTATTTCATATTTGCTCATTTGAATGTGGTTTCGCCTGCTCCTCTGGCTGCAGTCAGGAAGGGAAAATACTACAGGAGATTTGCACTTTTCTTGTTTTTATTTTTTCTTTGGAAAACCCCCACATACATAATTCCAACGCGCCGAGGCTTGTCAGAGTAACTTTGAAGTAAAACTGAAGTTGAGGCTACTTTTGAAAATTATTAATTGCTCTCTGTACTGGGATATTTCAGGAGAACGCCTTTATTGTCTTTGTGAATGCCAAGGACTTTGTTTTTTTAAATGTAGTCGGTTACATACTGTATGTACAGTATGTTCTTGTACAAACTGCAGTGTTTGACAGGACAGGAAGATCTTGGAACATTTTTGAAATCTTTTGTCTTTCTCTTCCCATCAGAGGAACAATGTGGACCAAACATATTCTTTTTCTGGTCGGCGCCCTGAGCATGTGCCAGGTAGAGACAACCTTCCTTCCTTCTCCAACTTTATGTCCTGCACTGTGTTGCTCATGAAAACAATGTAAGCCCAAGTCAAGTTGACACAGATACTAACTGTGGCGTTTTCTTTTTTTTTGCCTTTGTAGGTTTTCTCGCAAGGTGAGAGAGTTGACAGCACAGTGGAGACGGGCAAAAAAAAAAACACATTTTTCACAAACACTATGACTCAAGACCTCTCTGTGTTCACTGTATAATTTATGTCATTCCAAAAAGAATAGGCTGTCAATCTGTTACGTTAATCAGGACGGTAAACTGCATTCTACCTGTGCTTGTCAACTCTTCTTCCCGTTTTATCAAGACATCTACGTTGCGGAGCTGATGGTGGAGAGCAACGTCACGCTGACGTCAGCGAGCATCCTGGCGAGTTGGAACTCATCCACTTCCCTCAATGTGGACGGAACCACAGTGACGATCTCCAGCAGCGAGCTGGTCGCAGGTATTCTATCTGAACAATGCTTTCCCCTTTGAGTTCTCATACAATGAAGTCAGTGGACAGACGGGAGCTTGTTGAATTACTGGTTTAGGAAAGTACTGTCTGTTTGGAGTGAAAGACTATTTTTTATTTAGTTTTACGTTTATTTTACCCATTGGACCGAATATTAAAAGTTCAAAACCCTGATGCGGAGACGGCCAGGCGGTCCTCATTGGGCGGCGTGTTAAAGTGGGTCACACTTTGTTCAGGAACTCCTGCTGCATTCAGCCACGTTTGCAGCCCCTGATGCCTCCGAATGAGTCTGAGTGATTTCCTGATCCTGATCCTGAGAAGTCAAAGCGGAAGCAGAAACTGACCCAATTCTCGTCAACAAGTCCAGCCAAATTTATATGTGTAGCACATTTCTGCAACAAGGAAGTTCAAATTGATGGACATGATAAAAACACAGCACAACAAAACAGAAGAGACCATTTTCAGTTTGCACCGGCAAAATGAAAATGAGTTTGACTCCCCTGATTTAGAGGAACTCAGTGTTTCGGCTTTTTTATTTTTTCACTTTATTCTTTCCTTTTTGAGTCTTTGAATCTTTCAATTTTACCAAATTGTACATTTGTAAAAATGTGAACAATGCAGGACATCATGAAATTACTCAAACTTTTTCTCAAAGGATTTGACATGTGCTCTAAGCTGATGTTCTCGCACCTTTGGTAAGGGAAATCTATTTTTTGCCTCACTCTCTAGAATGCCTGGTTGTTGGAGAGGAATACAGCTGCAACTGCTCCACCGGCTACGCCTGGAGTGACGAGGTCTGCTACAACTACAGCTGCTGTACCGAAGCTCCATGTCTGAAAAATGTGTCCCAGGCTGCATCCATCTGCGTTGAGAAATTCAACGGTAAGGGTCCGCCAAAGCCTTTCTGACCATTTTTGAAAATTGGCCAGCAACCTTGGAGGTCCAAAGGATTTGAACCATGCTACCCTTTGCATATGCTTTGATTTTGCATCAAAACTTGTTTTTTCTCATTTTTGTAATTTGCTGGAAGTTATCATCAATGGATCCGTACAGCTGACTTCGGGGTCCTGGACTTCTGTGCAAACCACGATGGTATGTGTCGCTCTTGTCATTAGAAGAGGTTCATTCTACATTCAGCTAAGTGCTAGAACTGCTCTCTTCTCTCTGTTTTAAGCTTGAAAAAGGGCTGAGGATGATGAATGGCGTGGGATCCTTGAATATCACTGCGCCGAGGTCTGGACACCTGGATGTTGTCGTTTCGCTGAAAATACAACACGACCCATATCACGAGACAATTTTCCTTGAGTTTGATCACTGTACTTTTAACCACTGTACACAGAGTGTACAGTGGTGAAAGTGTGCAGTAGACTCACTTTCAGACTCAGATTTGCAGAGCTGTCTTTTCACATCTTTAGTTAACTCTAAAAGTCAGAAGCTCATTACAAACTAATTGCAGATCATTTCACTGTGCTCATGTTTAATTATAGAATTTTGCAACCATAAAAAAAAAGACACAGACCGACTAAAAGAGAGGAAGCAAGAATGGGAAGAAAAACAGAAGGAATGATGGCAGGGAGGGAAGGCAATGATTGATGGAAGGCAGTACAAATATGAATGAGACAAGATTAAAAGGACGCGAAGGAAGGAAGGAAATAATTATACTGAATGTGTTTTGTAAGCACATAGACACCATGTAAGCACTATGTGCCTTGAAGTTGTGTTTCTCTGCCAAAAAATAAGCTGTTTCTATTCACAGACATGTTTACTTTTATCCATTATGTTCTCCATATCCTCTGCAGTTCGTTGCAGCCGCCCATTGCTGAGTTTGAGATGCTTGTCTATGTCAGATTAGACCAAGTCAAGTTTCAGCAGATTCTGAATGGTCTGACTGCCAACCTGTCATCGGCCCCGATTTACGTCGACACTAAACGTCAGTAAATTTCACAGTTTCATTTTCATATTCCATGTGGTGTGGTGTCACTTTCAGGCCTTGTACACACGTAGGCATGTCTTCATGAAAAAAAAAAAAAACTTTTCAAAAAATTCTGCATTGGTTACAGGAAAACGTCTTCATTCACGTGAAGCTGCATAAATCCAGCCCTTAGCATTATTTTGAACATGCCAAACCCATAGGGGGCAGTGCAGCACAAAGCTAAGACCTGTGTCGGCCAATCAAATTGCTTCAAAACATCCAAGTCGTCCTGTTAGGAATTAGCCCTGGCGCCAGGATGTTTGTTTGTGTGGAAAGATATGTAGGTTAAAGTGCTTTTAAATAGTAGTTCAAAACTACAAAACAAAACTTCATATTTCAGTTTTGCAACAGAAATATAAAGTTAATAAAACACAAAATGGTGTTAATTGGGAATCATGCCAAAGCAAGTATGTGGACTTATTGACTCCATTACTTGTTGCAGACTATAATGCATCAGACCGCGACTCTTTTTCAATTCTCCACTTTGGTCTGGGTTTTTGTAAATAACTTTTAGTTTCTGTGTGGACGAAAGGCCAAAGCGAGTGAAAATGTGTTACTTTTCCCAGGTATCTGGCTACATGTGGACAAGGCCGAAGTGTGAAAATGATTTCTAGCATGTGTGGTTATTTTGAAAGTTCTCACATCTCAACCGATTAACTATGTCTGTAGTTATTTTCTTAAAAGCTTTCTATAATGTCCATAAGCAGTTGTTAATTTATATATGTCATTTGTTTCTTGATTACTCAGGCCAAACGCTGCATGGCAGAGGCACTTTTTGGGGGTTGTAAACCAAAGATTGGAATTATTTCTGGTCTATTGATCTGACTGATCTTTCTGTCTTCTATTGTGACATAGAAATGGTACACATCTCTGGGGGAAGCACTCAAGTGAAGTATGAGGGCCAAATTGATCTTACCTGCAAAATGAAGGAACCCACAGGCAGCGCTGGGTGGAACCTAAGTAGACCATTTGAGCGCTTTTCGGTCAGCAAAGGCAGTTTGACCATAATTTCCACAGACTGTGTCAATGAAGAATACAAATCCTGTCTGACACTTAATGTAACTAAAGCAACAGGTGCCTGGACAGGTAAGTATACCAACCTTATCTGGATTATCTTAATGTTTAACTGAAACCAGCTTTGATATATAAGATGAGACTAAATTTAGTGTGTATTGTATGTAATTACTATGTAATTAGACTTTATAAAGGGAAAATAAACGTCATGTTAAAGAAATGCTTGAGAATCCCAGACAGGTGGTTCACACAGGATCACACAGTCTGGACCTGCAGTATTATTTCACTTCAGTCTCTCCTGCTGCCTGTTCACCTGATTTCTAGAGACACACAGGCAGTGAAGGGTAACAAAATTGGGAAAGCAGCATCTCTTGATGTAGTTAAAGAAAAACATGTGCAAGCAGAAAAGTCTATGGTCAAGGTTGATGAAATATTTCGACGCTTTAATGAATCCAATTCAGATTAGCCTCAAAACATCCCTATGGTGCCCTGTCATTTTTACCATTACCAGTTAGATTACAAAAGCATAAAGTACCATTTTATGCTTAAGTGTGGCTCAAACCAAATTTTCTCAAGCTATGTATGCAATCATTTGAAAGAGAAAAAGTAAAACCTTGAAATGTATCTGTGTGTTCCCATCAGGTATATATGAGTGTGGATTTACTTATGGAACAATCAGACACACTGCCAGCGTTCCCATAAAAGTAGTTCTCCTGCCAGATGTGATTACCATGAAGTTTAGCCCTCTGATTGTAGATTGTTCTACCGGGATTCCTTCTGTAACTGTCACAGCAACTATCCCAAAGTCTGATGAGTCATACACATACTTTTGGAAATACAATGGTGGCGAAATAACGGGAAGTGGTAAGAGAATTCTACAGTTTTTTTGGGCATTTACTATTCTTCAACTTAAATCAGCTTCCTGACAAAAACATCAATCTGTGTGTTGCAGCAATTAATAACCAGAGTTTCGAAGTCAAGCATAACCTGAATTGTGTCTACAAAGACCGACAAATTGTGAACATCACTTTTAAAAACAGCATATCTCAGGAAAAGTCTGCACATGTGGAAATCCCCGTGTTTCGTGGTATTGAATCCATTCAACCTGACACAGATGACACAATACTTCTAACTTGCCGTTACTTTGACTGACATTCATTCTTTTTTTCTCAAGAAACTGCAATATTCTGCAAAGAAGAGACTCTCAATGACGAGAAGTGGCTAAAAACTCCGGGTGGAGTGACATTGTTTAATCAGACTTGTCCACCAGGTAGGGTAGGGTACAAGTCACGTACGTGTGCCCAGGATGGAAAATGGCAAGAGGTTTTCTCCAAATGCATCAGTGAGGAGCTGAGCAAAGTTACAGACGCAGCTAACGTGAGTTTGGATTTACCCACGCAGAATGTCACACTTATCTAGTCAAAGAGAAGACATGATTGAATGCATATGCATTTTATTAGACTTTCAAAATATCAACCAACCATGTTTGCAAATTGCTGAACTATAAGCCTCTGTCAGGATTGAAGATATTGAGCAGTAACGCCTTCCTTTATGTTTTCATCACTAAGGACGCAAAAGAAAAATGTCTGCAAGATTTATGTACTAATATTTGCTTGTCCATTGCTCTTCATGTTTTTTCTAGAAATTTCTGACTGGACTTGGAGCCACACAGGAAGTGGCTAAGGACATATTTGAAGGAGTCAAGAACAGCTCTAGTTTAAGCTCCAATGGCTCTGCTGACATTGCTGACATTGGTGCTTCCATTGGCATTATAGGATTGATGGCCAACGCTTCAAACAACATCGATTTGGATGAGGATGTGTTGCCTGTAAGATCATTTACTGTTGATATAATTCAGTTTCAGTGTAAAACAACACCAAGGTTGTTCTACATACATAATATAGAAAACACTATATTTTTGAGATTGCCAAAGAATGCACATAGTTTTTAGTAAAAAATATAATCTTCAAAATGATGACATAAAGTAGCTAGTATCTACAATTAAATATCATTTAGACAATACTCACTTTAAAGAGTTCATCAGTTGTCTTGTGAGCCACATGGATCAAAAATTAGATTAATTCCAACTTAGTCATACAATCAGAAATATGAGTTAATTTCAGCTACCATTTTTATGTTACTCTCAAACTGAGAATGACCTAACATGATTACCACAGAAAGTGCATGTGTGTTGTCTTAATATCTTACAGGATTTAATTGATGCAGCCAGCAATATGGTCAACTCAAACTGGAGTGAGGTAAATGACACAATCCGTCAAGACATGTCTGCAAACTACCTTTCCAATGTGGAGGATTTGGTGAAGAACATCAAGATCAACACCAGTGAGGGTTTCAACAGTACAAACCTGGAGCTCAAATTCTGCTCAAGTGATGACTGCAGCATGTCTGTTTTTGGCATTGATGTGAATTTGAACAAGACCAATGGAACAATGAAAACCATGGGCGTGAAGAATCTGATGGAAAAATTGAAAAACAACAACTTTCCAGGCAAAAATCGCAGCAGCATATTGCTGTCAGCCACCCTCGTAGGCAACACTGATTCAGATGTTAAGATTAAAATGTTCTTCCCCGACGAGCAACCAACTGCCACAGAACGTCTCTGTGTCTTCTGGGATACACGTAACAAAGACTGGTCCAGCGAAGGCTGTATTGCCAACATCACCGAGGACAACCAAACACTCTGTGAATGCAACCACCTCACTTCCTTCTCCGTCCTCATGTCCAAAAGTGGCGACTTCAAGGATTCTTCGATCCTTGACATGATCACAAACATTGGACTGGGTGTGTCTGTTTTCTCCCTGCTCATCTTTCTTTTCGTCGAATCCTTGGTGTGGTCGGCTGTGACAAAGTCGAACCTGTCTCATTTCCGTCACACAGCCGTGGTGAACATTGCCGTGTTCCGCCTGCTCGCAGACTGCAGCTTCTTGGCTTCGACTGATCCCAAAAAGCTCTCCGATACCTTGTGCTTCACCTTCACCGTCTGCAAGCACCTGTTTTACCTGGCGATGTTCTGCTGGATGCTTTGTCTGAGCGTGATGCTCGTCCACCAACTCATCTTTGTTTTCAGCCCGGTCAGGAAAAGAGTCTTTATGTACCTCTCCAGCATTTTAGGCTATGTTTTACCAATTGCACTAGTGGGAACCAGCTATGTGTATTACAAATACAAAGAACAGGACTACTACAGTACAAAGACCTGTTGGTTAACATATGACCGGCTGTTGGAGGGCTCCATTCACGCATTTCTTCTCCCTGTGGGCACCATTCTTTTGTCAAATCTCTTCTCCATGGTGGTTGTCATTGTCACCTTGGTGAAGACCTCTGTACCAGACAGCAGCAAATCAGATGACAAGGAAACAGCCAAGAGCATTCTCAAAGTGATCGTCTTTCTAGCTCCAGTCTTTGGAGTAACGTGGATCATTGGGTTTGCTTTACTCATGCTGGAGAAAGGTCCCTTGTATGACGTCTTCGAGTATGCCTTCACCATCCTCAATTCTTTCCAGGTAATTTACTATGCAACTCACAAGCCTCTTTCACATCAACGTGTCAATCCATGACATTCACACACTTCGTACACCTTATGATCAACTGAAAGAAATCAACAAATCACGGGCGAGGGAGGGGTTGAAAGCAACACATAAATAATACACCCCATGGCTAATATGTGAGCACAAAACACAAAATCTGATGCAAATAATAACATGATAGAGAAGGTCCACAACAATTTTGGTTGTACCTAAAGCCATGAATGCTTTTCTCCCAGTTGACAGAACAACAGGGAGTTGCTAGTTTGGTAAAAACCAGCTCCTTGTTCTTGGCTTTGCTTCGGACAGAACTGCTTGACCTTCGGCTTTTGAGGAATGATTTCTTGCTGGAGGCATACACTCTGTTGAAGTTTTTTATTTTACCCAACTGCTAATGTTTGGCCCTGACACTGCGAAGACAGAAGTGCCGATCCGAACGAGGGCGCTGTTAATGATAATTCATTATTAAAAACCACCAGCGATCTTGTCCTGACACAGAAGGCCTTTTGGTGCTTGCGTATTTTGCGCAACAGTTATCAACCCAAACTTTATAAGTTTGGCTAATTTTTGTCTTGAGGCAATTCAGACAAACTTGCAGTCAGTAGTATACATAAACTCATATTGATAAATATAAACAAGATCCATTTGAAAAATGTTATATGTAAGCCTTTTCGTTCCATTGTAAGTCCAACGTCAGTGACATAACCACAGACTGAAAGACAGGCCTACTATAAACTCAACAAAGAGGTGTAGGAGGCTGAAATTTGCAGCTGTCCACACAGACAAGTGAAATATTTTCAAGATAAACATTTTATGGATTAGAAAAAACTCCATATTAAATTAGAACCTTAACATTTAACTGTTTTCAGAAACATTAAAGATGTATGTTGTGTTATTGACTCATCTCAAGTGAAGAATGTCTTCAATGAATAGCTAAGAGTCAAGTAAACATGACATTCATACTGATGAAGTCAGAACTCTACGTATCTTCTGTAATCTGATGGTAAATAAGCAAATCAGCAAACAGTGAGCCACTATATTCACAAGGAGACGAAAATAACATTTCGGAAACAGCTTTTGAATACAAGCAACGTGCAGCAGATGGTAAAAGCGCAAATATTAAAATTTCATCTTTTTCCAGAATGACTTTAAAATTTATTCTGACACGATTCAAATAAAAATGTTGCGCACCATTAAGCCAGTGCTGAGCTTTGCTCAAACACAATGTGATTCAGCTTTCTTAAATTCTGACCCAGCGTTACTTGGATATTTCCAAATAGAATATAATAGACTCTCATCTGAAGAGGACAGTGGATCAGATATGTCCTCACTATCTCATAGTTTTGAGAACTTTTCTAAGGTAGGCTAATATTACAAAGATGATATACAGAACGCAGATAGCTGTAACAAGCCCCCAAAAGTGACGATAGAAATTTAGTAAAAAGGTCTTTCAACTAAGCTTTGACCTGAATTAATGATCATATCAATCATTCATTAATTATGTCTAGTTGAAATGGGGAAAACGTAAGGGGCAGCTCATTTTGTGATTACAAACCATTTTTAACTTGACACTCAGGAAGAGTGAGGCAGATTTTACAGTCAGACAACAGGGAACATTTTACTTCACTATTGTAAAACGTCTGCATTGTCAGAAGGTAGAAGACAGCGAGTGTGTTATGGACACAGTGGAATCTATAGGCTAAGTGACAGAGAAGAAAGCAAAAAATACAGGATTAGTTTTGAAGGTAGTGGCACCAGATAGAAGTCTTGTAAAATATGCTTTTGTCTCTTTCAGGGCCTTTTCATTCTGCTAACAGGTTGTGTGGGAGAGCAGAAGGTAAGTTTGTCTTTTAGACTCTTTGCGCTGTACTTCTTAATTTATTGAAAACATAAAGATGAAATGAAATCAAAAAATAAAACCAGTGACTCAAAAGTCATCATATGTTAAGTTTTACCACATCCCCTGTGCAAAAAAATGATTTTTACCATCATTCTGTTTATGTTATCCCCAGGTGAGGCAGGAAGTGATTAGAATCATAATGGTAAGTGTGATAGTTATTCAACTGGATTACTTTAAGCTATGATTTGATGGAAACAACCAGAAGAAATCATGTTGTTTTGGGGGGGTCTTTCCTCAGGTAAAAACTGGACGAGACACTGATAGTGCCAAGAAACTGACTAATAGTTCATCTACACTCTACACAAAAGACAAATGATGAAGGTAAGATCTCCTATACATTGTCTATTATTGACTTTCAATTTGAGATTAAAAACTAATGTTACTGAATGTAAGGGTTAGGAGAATGGTATAAGTGGAACTATTCAAAGTGTTGATGAAATGACAGTCTGCTTCACTGATCCATATGGTGATTCCAGTTTATCCCCGTTTCAAAGTTGTGGGTCTTTAAATGGTAACACAACCATCATGTTTAGTCCCTGCTGTACAGTTTTTAGGGGAAGTGCTATGATGTTGGACTACATGAAGTCATCTCTAATATCATGGCCCCAACACCTGTTGATGAACTAAGGTTTTACAAGAAGAGTATGTTTAGGTACTTCAGGTCAGTTTACGCATTAAATCTTAACCCCAATCATACCGACATTTACTTCATACTTTCAAAATTTTTGAGATAACATTTTGTACGCATCATATATGAATTTGTCTTCTGCTGTATTTCAATATGTTTATGAAATATAAAAACCAATACACATTTAAATGCTTATGTCTCAAATGTTACATTTTCTCCTTTACCTTCATGAATGTCCTCCTTCTACGCCTACACCGGTGTAAAAATTTGTACACATCCTTGGCTCGTTGATTTTAACTAACACCATTTTGAAATGTAACTTGAAAGCTTCACGTTCCGTTTAAAACTTGCATTTAGCCTTCAAAACATTAATAATTCACACCAAATTAAGTTTCAGTGGACATGAAAAACATTGAAAGGTAGGACTGGTTTGTGACATAGAAGCCAAGGTGAACCACGACAGTTAATAAAAACTTGATTAAATAAAACTCTATCATCCAACATTTTGCAACCTTACACAGACAGTGGAGACGACAGGCTTGCATGTTTTTTTTTTATGATATCACATACCGTTTTTCTGGAGAACTTGATTTGCATTGGTCAGCCTGCTCAGCATGTACCATATTAAAAGACTATATTATGTGGCTCATGGGGGTGATCTTTGGTTAAGAAAATAAAGTGGCACAGTAAACACCAGAGCGATGGAAACTACAGTGCTGCTGACTCGCTTGTCTGGTTGGACCAACCGGAAGGAGGAGGGACAGCGCTGGGACGTGTAGCATCTGGGCGCTAAATCAACTTTAAAGACATAGTCCACAACTTTTCCTTAGGTTACCCTGGTACCATCTCTTCTTTATTTGGTTATAAATGAGTTAAGAACTTCATCTTTTTGCTAGCTATCCAGTCTGATCTTGAAACAATAATACAATCAGTACCACATGCAAGTTTTTTTGTCTTTAAGAGTTACCAAAAAATTTTTTCAAATGTTGCTATTTGTGTGCCACAGAAACAGTGGAAACAGAAAGAGCAGCTCTGGTGACCACAGCGCCACCGTGACCCAGGAGAGAACACTTCTTGACGTTTGCAATGTGGTAGATTTTGATCCGTAGACTGTTCCAAATGTGTAGCTGGTTCCTTTAAGAACATAATCAAAAACCAGTCAAGTAGAAGACTAATGATAATTAGCAGTGAGTGGGTGACATTTCCAAAATGATGCATATGTATACTGTAGAAGTACATTCCATATGTGTTACTGACCAATGAGACAAGCAACACATTTAAATAACCAATATTTATTTTTAGGTTTGGGGTCAATGTGGAGCTTTTAGTTATTAGAATTCTAATTGAAAAATGCAAATAGTGAACAATGACTGTTTAACTGTAAACTTTATGCTTCTCAGTGCAAATAGCAACTTCATGCAATTTTTTGCATTCTGTTCCAAACCCATGTATATAGAACAAAGCACAATTTTATCAAGTCTGTTTGTGATCGGTTTATTTAAAAAAAATTTATTTATATAGTTTGGTGAACTACAAGCTGTAAACACTATTTGTATATTGCTGTATGTATTAGAAGTTATAGTGAAATAAAGATGTTTAGAAACTCAAGTGCCATCATACATTTTTATTCGCTGAATCTGACACCGGGACAACATGAATAATATTATTAAAGTAATTTAGTTAATTAAAGCCTATATCTGCGACAGACTGGCGACCTGTCCAGGGTGTGCCCCGCCTCTCGCCCAGAGATAGGCACTAGCACTTCCCGACCCCAATAGGGACAAGGGTGTAAGAAAATGGATGAATGAATAAAGCTTATATTGCAACAGAAATTAACTTTTTTTACCAGTTGTACACCAAATGAGTGTTTTGAATCCACTTCTGCTAAATTATCCATTTGTATCAGTGTTCTCAGGGTTTTCCTGTCTTTAAGCGACTCTAGTAATAATGGAAGAGATAATTTTTTTAACGTAAGACATTTCCGTATGTTTAAAGATTGAACCAGCAGTGGTCCAACCTTTTGTTGTGCTAAACGAGAACCTGTACATTTTAAAACTGATTAGTGTGAGCTCTCCTGATGACAGTGAAGATGGCCAGCGTTAGAACCACAGTTCCCGCCGCACCGCCGATGAGAGCTCCCAGGATGCCTCTGTCTATTTTCACTTCCTCACACCTCGGGCCAGAGTAGAAGGTGGCCTGAGTTGTTGCACATCTGAGGAGAGAGACAAGACGCTTCTGTTCATATGTTAATGCTTTCTCCTCTTCTACCTTGAACTGCCATCACTGAAGGTGTTTTCACACCTGATAGTCCAGTAGACCTGGTTCGATTCGGGACTAAAGTCCCAACATTTGTTATATTTTCAACTGGTGTGGTTCAAGCGCTGCTGTTGAATGAACCAAACACTGAAAAACTTTCTCACCTCTCACCTCTGGTAGCGCTGTACCAATAACTGCAAATTAGTCAAAAATCCCTAAATAAGACACAAATGCAACTTTCTAAACAGAAACAGAATGGCATCAGATTTTGTCTTCTGTCATTGGCAAAAGATCTCCAGCCATTTCTCCCTTTACACTCAAGGGTTTGTTTGGTTGTATTTTCCCAGAATGCCTTGCTTTTTGGGTAAATACCAAGGGGCGTTGGACAGAGACCGAGGTGGAGCAGAGTTTTCTTTTTTCTGGATCGTATCAGAGTTCAATTCAAACCTCCCCAAAAGAACCAGACTTTGCAAATAAACAGGACTGGTGTGAATGCAAGATAAATAAGACTACACTGTGGACATTATACCAGTTTTGCATATCGGGTTGGTAAGAGTAACAGACAAGTTGTTGTGGCAACAGAGAAACAAAAATACCTTGAATTTGTTTAAAGTCAACCTATAAAATGATCATGTGGAAACAGATCAAGCTTCTTTAGACATTCAGTTCTCAAAAACCACTCCTGTTTCTTTTTTTTTTTTTTAGAATCAATCCTGCTCTAACTCATCTGAATCAAATGGGAATTTCTAAACATATTCAAGTGTCATACAGTTTTTTTAAAGGTTTTGCAGGCTCTAATTGCCTTTATTGGAAAGTGGTCAGACAGGAGACAGGGTGATGAGAAAGGGGGAAGCCACGCAGCAAATATCGCCAAGGCGGTATACGAACCTGCAGTGGCCATGTCGAGGTCTTAGGTATCCATATGTGGGTTGTGCTTTGCCCCGGCACCACCACAGCACCCGTACAAATGTTTTAATCTAATATAATGTCATAGATTTGTGATCATGTCAAATTTGAAAAAGTCCTATAGGTCCACACTGGTCCTGTGTTAGTGGATTGGTATCCAATCAAGAATTCTCTTTTTTTCACTTTAAAACTAATGAAGACAATTGTTTGCACTGTAATGTATTCAGCCGAGAAATTTTTGGATGTAAACAGTAACATGCAACATTTATGAAAATAATCATGTAACAGTTTCTTCCTTGTTACAAGATTTGCACTAAGACCAGATTTAGCCCATGGTACTTAAACAACCTCAACAATTCTGATTCTGCTTAAAATCAGATTTGACTTTTTATGCTTTTGGGTAGCCCTAATCCTCTTCTGTAGGTAAATGAATGGGAACAAAATACAGCTGCAGGAACATGGATGTCGTACCTATCCAACATGAAAGCACAAACCTGCACGAGGCTTTGCCTGCAGCCTCCACACACACGCCTCCGTTCAGGCAGGGGTTAGGACGGCAGAGGTCGGTGGCACGTGGCTCCCTGTGCTTTGGCACTTCCTGTTCCATTTCCACCTCAGGGCCTTCCTTCTTGTCCGGGAGGCCTCTGCCTTGTACAGAGCGCTCCACTGGTACTTCAGTCTTGATCAGGTGGGTCAAATCTGTTGGAATGACATTTTGATAAACATCTTAGACGTGTCAGAAATATACACCTCAGAAGAAAAGTGCATTTTGGATCCTAACCATTGAAGTCAGCAGTTATGATGAGGTCATCATTCTTGAGGAAGCTCCTCCGCTGTAGTTGGTTGTGGGATATGAATGTGGTCCAGCCGTAATCTTGACCCCGGTAGCACTGGCAGCTCTCGTCCCAGACTGCACCAGACGTGGGGGTCGGTTTGTCCCAGCGGGTGTTATTGTCTAAGTGGAAAAATTGGTAAGGAAAAGTAAATCCAGGTTAGACTACTCAGAAAATCTCCATGCTTTATTAATGTTGGACCACAAATTCTTTGAAAGAACAAAACAAGAGTGAAGGTCAATTAGTGCGATGACAAATTGCTAAAAGTTGTGAAAGCACAGCTCATCAGATAAACACATTTCTGACTTGTTTGGAGAGTCATGAACCAGCAGTACATTGAGCATTGCCTATCTCTGCCTACCTGTGGTGAAGCTTCTTGTGGAAGACATCCTCAGTGTGACATCTGGGTCCTGATCCAGCGCTACAATGGTGGCCTGCCTGTTTTCTGCTGGCCACTGCATCACTCCGTCATTTTCCCCACTGCAGAGATGCAACGCAGCGCCGACGTAATCCGGGTAGCTACTCTCTCTTCCATTCGGGTAGAGACTGACTCCAAACGAATAGCCCTCCGCACTATAAACGCATTTGCTCCTTACAGGCGTGTTGACTGGAGTTGTGGTGAGAACGCCTGTGAAGTTGCGGATTTGCCAGACGAGACTGGGACAGACAGTCTCAGTGAGAGTGATGTCGTCGATTAAGATGGTGCCCGAGGAGCCGGCCGATCCTCTGATTCCTTGGAAGACGTAACGGAACTTTTTGGACATTCTAAGAGTCACCTTAGCAATTTTCCAGGCATCATCCCCGTCGCCTAAGAAACAAACGTGAACAAGTAGTTATTAATCCTTTGATTACTTTTATTAGTCATCTGTCAATCCCAGTCACAAGGCCTTCCTAATTTAACGCAAGTTCATTTTTAAGGGAACACACCTGTGACAGTGTAGATCTTTCTGATGGTGTTCACAGCTCCTGTCCCATCATCACTTCTGATCCAGATCACCAGTTTGTCTCCGGCTGCTCCGGTCATCTTATAGAAGAACTGGAGACACTGTTGACTTCTCTTTGGGTAGAGGATGCGTGACTCCAGCAGGGCGCTGCTGCCCACTGCACCAGAAGAAGTGTCGAACTTCATAAAGTAGCCAGAATCTGAAAGAGATCACGCTTCAGTAAATGACAAATGTTGCTGTATCACTTGTGAGAGTTTTTTGTTGTTGTTTTGTTTAAGATTTTCTTTATGACTATGAAACCTCCGCAGTACCTCTACAACGTCCCTCCAGGGTATGATCCCCGTCGCTTGGGCTGCTCAGCGTCTGGACCCAGTTTGCGTTGTCGTCCTCATTCTGGATCATTCCACAGATGTTTATGAGCTCAAAAGAGCACTGATCCAACAGAGTATGTGTCTCAGCTGAAACATGTTTGATATCAAACAAAATGGAATCTTAATAAAGACAAAAATTCTCAATACCTTGGAGAACTGGTGTTTTCTTTTAAAAGAAAAAAAACAAAAACAAAAGCAAATCTGTAATGGGTGATAAAGTAATAAAGTAGAAATACCCACCACAGTCATACATGCGGTTAAGCCTGGTGATGTCTACTTCGCTGAAGTCCAGCCGCTGACCAATGACATTGTTAAAATACGGTATGGTGGTTGTAATTGTGGGGATGCTTTCATTCTTATTAAAGGAAAACGGTCTGTAGTGCATGATGGACTCATAATCGTATGGTGTGTTCAGGTCTGTGATGAAGTCATCTTCATATTTGTTGAAATTGTGCCCCTTCCCTATAAGGACAGAGCGACATTATCACCGACATGAATGTAAGATGAGTAGATAACTGTAGAAAATCTACCATAACACACATAATGCAGCATTTCCATATGTCGAAGTAATATTTAATACATTTTTGAAAGCTATTAAAAAATATGCCCACAAACTAAATGTCTAATTTGTGATAATCAAGTGCACACAAAAAAGGTATTTTTCTTTTTAGTTTTTTCTACTCTGAAAGATATAGACGCACAATGGTATGGACAAGTGTGTTTAAATTAACATTCCATCTTTGACTTATTTTTAAAAAATTGTATTTGAGGTGACATTTGGCACCACAGATAAACTGGAACTTTAAAATCACCCAAGCATTTCAAATTTCTTGGGTTTCAATTACGCCCTGGTGAAAAATAAATATACTAAATATGTTAAATTTTAGCACACTTTTTTATGCTAAAAGTATGTTAAGTTACACTGAATTGATTAACTAAAAGTGTGACATTTTGGAACAACTAATTTTGTGCTTAGTGTATTTTAATAGTATTTAAATTGTATCAAAGCACAATTTAAAGTGTACTAAGTGTACTTTCACATTCTTTTTTGGAACAACTT